GACCTCTTGGCACACCAGAATATTGGCTTAAGCCAGCCGTGTTCCTGAGTGAGGTCGGTTGTAAGCAGCACTATTTGGGGAGTGTTCAAAGCGAACCCCATTAAACTTAGCCTGAACACTGCATGCAGTGACCTCACCTGGGGGCTAATGGACTAGTGGACCCTTCCCTTGGCCTGCACTCCTGCAGATCCAAGTGCAAGGCCTTACTTTATATTTGATGTGAGATCCCTGTTAGAATAAACAGAAAGCCCACAAAGAATGGATAGACACAAACTTCTGTACATGTAGATGACATCCCTTAAAATGATGTCTTTCTGAGCTCTGCAGATGTAATTTGCACCAGAGGTGATAATTAAACAGTAAAAACAGAGCATTCCCCCCAGGGTACTGTTTCCGTAGATACCACTAGAGTTGGCAACCTGACTGAATTAAATAAAACAGAGAGCCTATGTCAGGACTTTGAAAAAAATAAAGTTAAATATTTATCAGGTGTCATACGTTGTCAGATTTGGAAGTTTGGAGTCTTGCTGGAGGAAGAAGCTGCAGAAGGAAAAAGGGAACCAGCCAGTGGGTAGAGAGAGATGGAGTTGGGCCTGATGGCCAAGGGGACCGAGAGATAAGGTTTCCCTCTGTGCTTTCTGGTCCTGACACAAGGCCAGTGCAAGCTCCTTCCTCAAGTGTGTTATCTTATATTGAAATGCTAACATTCCATAACCCCCAAGTGACACAAGCATGTCAAGAACGACCCCAGGCAAATACAGAGAAAATAATTAAAGGTCACTGGTGAAGACGAGTGTTCTTATTTTTGACTTCACAGAGGTGGGGGAGGGGTGTGGGTGGCCCATCTGTATCCTGTTAGGTTTTGGCAGCTTTGCTTCATTTTCTCACACCTCGTCAGCCATCCTCCTTGCTGGTTGGTGATTGGTGATTGGTGTGGTCTTGCAGAAGGGGTCTGACACCACTGTGAAGAAGGAAATAGACTGAAGAGGAAAAAATTGGTGGTAGCTCAAGTGTCAACCACAGACGCACAGTGAAGAGTCCTTGCCTTCCGCCTCAGCTGTTTGATGGAGGCTTTTCGGAGAACTTTGAAGGAGACAGCATCAGAAAAGACACCTGGTTTTCTCTCGTTAGTCTCTGAATGTTTTATTCCCAGGCTTTAACAGTTGAGAAGAGGGAGGCTTTGTTCTGGCTCAACATCAAGAAATCTTTGCTTTGGAGGCCTCTTAAATGCTCATCTGAATTTCTTTAGCAGCAACTGTTTCTAAGCTGGTTCTTAAAAGAGTTTCTCTACTAGCTGGGGACAGGGCGCAAATAGGCTCAGCTTCTTGGAACCTCAGCGTCTTTGTTTCTGAATGAGTGAACTGGGTTAGATCTTTATTTCCCAGAAGATGGGTTTCTTACCACTTGTGGTAGCTCACATGATACAGGACAAGGTGACAGGGAAACGAGACACAAAATAATTTCGAATCACTTTCCCTTTCCAATTCTCTTCTGATCCTTCTCATTATGTCAAGGAGAAAGTCTCAGTTTGGAGCTAGTGTGTCTTTAATGCCTCTCTATCACTTGCTAATTTCCCTTTTTAACAAAGCACAGGCCTCAGGCAGGCAAGTGTCTCTAACAAACATTTAACAATAGGGTTCATTTTTTTAAAGGTAGTTTCTATTTATGGCAGGTGATAGTGATTTTCTGTTTAAGGCAGTGGTAGAGTTTATTTTTGCAATAAGTTTACTCAAGTAAAAAATGAGTAACTTAAGGAAACATTATGTAATAGCTCAGAGGGTATGTACAGGGCAAAAGATTGGTGTGATGGTACCGAGAGTTTGGAAGCAGTGCATTAGGCGTGTTCTGAGGCCTTTCCAGGGTTAGCACTCTGCAACAAAACTTTCCAGGTTTGGCCACAGCCACTTACAGACCAGAAATGTGACCTTTGAGCATAGGACCCAGATTTCAGGTATTAAGATTTTTAAATAGATAAAAGCTGGCTTTAATGTGATGTAGAATACCTTTATGGACTAGTTGTTAGCCAATTAAAAAAAAACAACTGGATATCTGTTCTAAGAACAAAACTCTTTTTTTCTTTTCAAAACTTTAAAGTTCCAAAATTCCAGCTGAAATAATTTAACCCTTCTTCCTTTTCCCCTTCACCCTGAGGGAAGGATTGAACAAGATTGCATTTTAATTTGGGGCAGCCAAAGAGTGAAAGTAGTGATTAGAAACTTGGATTTAAGGATCAGACTGAGCTGAGTTTGAATCCCAAACTTGGCCACTTGTGAGCCAAGAGACCTTGGACCAGTGACTCATCCTCTGAGCCTCAGTTTCCTCATCTGTAAAATGAGAACTTCCAAGGGAATTGCGAAGATGAAACGGGCATGCAGAAGGCTTCCACAGAGCAAATGCTCCACAGACCATTAGCCTCAGCAGCATCTGTTTTGTTGCATGTCCATCAGTTGAGTGGAAGCTGTGGACGGACATCCCTGTCCAGTGGTCTGCTGCAAGGTCACCCCTTCCTTTTAGGAAACACCCACCCAGTTTCCAGGGATCCGAGTTGGCACTGGGCATTATTTTTTGAAAAACAAGATGTTCCAAGCACACTGGCAAGCTTCACATTTATTCCTGCCAGGTAGGATGAAAAAATCTAGTGTGGTTTTCTAGTGTTCCCATAATGACTCTCCCGCAGGGGGGTGGGGTATGAGCTCTGGGTAGAGAGGCTCCCTGCTCATGGGAGATGAGGAGTGTGTCATCATCCTCAAGGCCAGCTCCCACCTGAGACGGATCATCCGGCAACCTTACCCACGTTCCAACCGCAGACACAGACCCAGGGAAGGTGAGGAGGATTAGATTGCTTTGGGAGTTCTTCATGCCATACTCATTAGCAGCACACTTTAATTATAAATAGGTCCTTTGTTAGAAATGTGGGGAAACTCCATAGCGTGAGGGATACAAGTTGGTGAAGAGTTGGACAACTAAAAATGACTCCCAGTGCTCTTTGCTTGTTAGTAAATATTTGTGAAGACCAGAGTCTACCTAGCTTTTTCTCTTTTTTTCTGGGTTTAAAGAAGAGAAAGGCATGCTTTTGACCCTCAAGGAACTTTTCCTTGAGTTTGATGAGGTCATTCACAACATTAAAGTACAGGCAGTGATTGTCAATCAGCAGAAAGCTGGGTGGTGAATTGGCAACCTCATTGGGGGAGTTTGGCAGCCTGGGAGGGGGTCATCCAATGAACCCCTGGTGCTGGGTGCTAGCACACCAGTCCCCAGGCCTGCCCTTAACACTAGCATGGCACCTGTGCGCCTGGCTGGGCACTCTAAGATGCTGGGGGAGCACCCAAGAGGGGCTGCTGATTCCAGAAAGACAGGGCTTGAATGTCAAACCAACAGCTCCTACTTTTTCACTCCCTCCAGCAGTCTCTTCTGCCTCTACAGTCTTTGATTTCTTCAGGGCTCCCCTCACCTGGCTTAGGAAATGAGCAGTGCTGTGGTTAACAACCCAGGCCTTGTAGCGTAGCAGCCTTGTGCTCAGTCCTGGCTCCATGACTCACTACCAGCTCTGTGACCTCAGGCAAAGCTCTTAACCCCTCTGAGCTTCAGTTGTCTGCATTGTGAAATGGGTATATTAATAGTACTGGCTTAATAGAAAGCAAGGAAATCATGCATAGAACACACTTTGGCACAGCCTGGCTCAAAATTGCCCTCAATATTATTACTGTTATGTTATTTCTGTAAAAGGAACTTGCGTATCCAGGGAAGCCGGTGTGGGGGTTGCCGGGAAAGCTTTCGAGTCAGATAGAGTTGAATTTGAATTTCAGCTCTGCCAATTAACTACTGGGTATGACTTGGGACAAGTCACCTCACTTCTCTAAACGCCTGCTTCCTGTTCTATAAAATGGGGTGATGGGATTGCTATGTGGAATAGATGAGTGAGTGTATGTGTGTGCCAGCATCTGGCACCAGGTGACCCCATGGCTCGTGGTACCTCCTCCTCCCCGGCCAGAGGTCCCCCATTGTCTACATAGTGCCTCCTTCTCTTCTTTCTTTAAAAATAATTTTTATTGTTGTTTTCATTAATTTAATCCTCAGATATCTTTTTTTTAATTGAGGTAACATTGGTTTACAACACTATAAAAGTTTCATGTGTACAACATTATATTTTGATTTCTGTATACACTACTTGACTTCTGTATACTCACCAACAAAAGTTTCATTTCCATCCATCACCATATAGCTCACCCCCTTTACCCATTTTGCAATCCCCCCACCCCCTTCCCCTCCTTCTCTTCTTGACAAAATCAGAAGAGAAGAATTACACCTGGGTCAGGTGTGGGATGACCAACTTCTCTGTTTCTAGAAAATTGCTGGAATCTGTGAGTAGGTAGGGGCCCTGGCAACATGTAGTTTATTTAGTAGCAATTCTGGAGGCTTTGTAGGGCCAGACGGCCCCTCGCCACCCCTCTGCACAGCCCTGCTTTGTAAATTCAGGAGCGACCCAGAACCCGACTCCTAAACGGTGAGGCAGAAGGAGGGAGCGCCTGGCTGGTAAATGAGCCTCCCCCCCATCACTGGGGGTGCTTAGGGAGTTGGGGAAATCTTTGTCAGGTTAGACCCTCAGTAGTCTCCCAAAGGAGCCCTTCCCTCTATAGCTGGCCCGTGCTGGAAAACTCATGGGAACTTTGCCCCCTTCTGCCACAGGAGCACTTTACTTCAGGAATAAAGAACATTTTTCTTTTACCACAAAACTGCCTTTGTCTTTCCTGGAAACTTTTATTGGCACCCCTTACCACTGAGTCTCCAGTGGCAAAACCAAACAACCAAATCGCAGGTTTGTATTTACTTCTTTTAAGTCAACTGCCATTGTTTATTCATTTTCCCTCTTGTGTCTTTGTAATTGAAATGAACTGCGTGTGATGTGGGGAGAGAGCTGGGTCTCTGAGGCTTCTGCCTCCTTTGTCAGCGCAATACATTATTTTTCAAATGCACAGGCTTCTGAATTTTAATAGACTGTAGATAATGATACATCTGGTTGCATATTAATTGCTGAGAGTTAGAAATAACACATAATCACTATGTTTCAAGGTTGCAAGTGTACAGCAGTGAGAGTCAGGGTTTGTTATGAGCCTTTGGAAAAATCCATTGTTAGTGGGCATTTTTTAATTCCTGTCATTAAAAATGTGCTACGGAATAAGAACTGTCTTAACGTTCAGTCTTGTGTTCTGGATGTGTGCACGAACACACACACACACACACACGCACACGCACTTCCCAAGGAGTAACAGTTTGAAGCTCTTCATCTGCTCAGCTGGGCTGTGTGGGGCAACAGCAAGGCCATATGAATCCATTGTAGATTCCCTACCTCACAGTTTCCTGAACAGCGTGCTTTGTTTTTCTGCAAACCATCGCTTAGTGGGTGGTAAGATGTCAGCTGAAAGCCAAGGCAGGAAAGTTTTAAAATATTTTATTTTATTCCCAATTCAATCAATCCCCTGTGGCTGTGTGACTGGTAGCCTTTTCCATTTTCAACCATCAGGTTTCAGTGTACTCTGTTCTCAGTCGAGAGCAGACTGTTCTACAACACCCCAGTGCAGTGTTCCCTGATTCTCAGTGGAGGCGTGTGCTGCTGAGGGTGCACGTGGACCAAATGATTTGAAAGGATAAACTGTGCTAGGAGGGGCAGCTGGGGTTACCAGGGAGCTCAGCAAATGTATTTTCTGTTTCTCTCTGGAAGGCACATCTCTGCAAGGCTTGACTGCTGAAAATCATTGTTCTCATCGAGAACAGAAAGAGGAGGGGGTCCATGTTCTTTTCCTGAAGACCTGGTGCCCTTGGTCAGATGTCCCTGTAGGTTTTACCCAGCAGCTGAATGTGGGATTCCTCGTCTCAGCCTCGTCTTCAGTCAGATGGCAGACCCAGCTGTTAGCTTTGCTTGCCTGCAACGTGTTTGCTCATCTCAGATTCAGCTGGAACACGCTGTCCTTCCTTTGGGTTGAGATCTGTGCATCCTTTTCCATCTCTGTACTTCTTTTTCCTCTTCTGGGAAGCTAAGATAATGCTGAGCCTCAAGGGATGGCAGGTAGATAAGAGAGAGGACATGTCAGTGGATCTGTGTATGGTCCTTTCTGGAAGCCAAAAGTAACATGTTATTTTTGGGAGAAATTCTACCCTCCGCCTCTGACATGGCTTGAACACCCAGAATTCCTATCATTGCCTAATCCCAGATAGTACTGGGATCAGGCAAGATTGGAGACCAGCTCTTTTAGCCTATAATTCAACAGTGTGGGGTGGGGAGGGGTGGGTGGGAGGAGTTCGATGTAGACCTCAAGACCTACCCACTTGGGTGCACTTCCACCACTCAGGTTCTTATCTTAAGTTGATGTTTTTCTCTACTTGGACGTAGCCTTGGATCTTGCCAAACCACTCCCAGTTTTGCTCTATCCAGCCGGAGCTTGACTAAACAGACGATAAAACTGCCGGAAGAAAGGGAAGGCAGGAATGTAGAATCAAAATGTGGTCTCATAGCAGCCCGAGTCCTCGGTGGCCAGAGCATGTCATTGGTGAGATAGTGGCAGGTAACATGGAGCACCAGCTTTGTCCCTGGGAGGCTCAGAGCAAAATCCAGTGCTGCAGGGAATGAATGAGAGCAGGAGAACAGGCTGGGGGTCGGGGGGAGTGTGGGGGGAGATCACACCTCTCCTTGGACATCAGTTTCAAGGCAATAATTTGATATTTACAGGCAACAACTTATGGGACAGGCTTGTACCGAGCACATTACACACATGATCTCGTGTCACCTTCCCAACAACCCTGTGAGAGGGTCGGAGAGCCACCCTCACTTCACAGGGCATGAGACCAAGCCCGTGGAGGTTACATCGTTGGCCCAGGGTCACAGGGTGTTCGGTGCATAGGGCACTGTCCTCTGGCTGGAAAGGTAGGCTCATATTTTATCCTTAGGTCCTTTGCAAAGAATCAACACATTTGGGGGGTCAGAGTGACAAGAACTTTGTCACTTTCAGCACAGGCTTTCTGCTCATCCTTAAACACCAGGGAAGCCTCAGCAAATATCCTTAAAGTGCCCTTGAGGTCTGTACACACCAGTTCCCAAACCCTGAAGCAGAGGTGGAATCCCCAGTGCATTCTTCTCCCCCTACCCCTCCAACCCAGCCCAAGGGGAAGCCAGGGAATCCCTTTTACAGAGATAAACAAATACAGAATTTATATCCCACCCAGGGGTTTCCAAGAAGTCAATAGGAAATGACTGGCCGAGACCCCAGAACCACAGAGCCCTTCCTCTGGGCCTGTGGCTGTGATTAGGCCACCACTGCCACCTCCGGCTGACTCCTTGGCGTCCCCCACCCAGGAATGTGCGGCTCTGACCCCATTTTCCAGACCTGCAGATGGGTGTGGCGTGCTGTGGGCACATTTCTTCTGTGGCATTCTTGGCAAAAAGGCATAACCTGGCTCTACTCATGAGAAAACATCTTCTGGGCCTAAGGTTGGCTTCCCTGTAAGGGCCACAGAGGCTTGAGTCTGCTGGCAGCTCTCACACTTTTCCAGGAGGTTGAACTGTTAAAGCGCTTCAGCTCTGAGCATCTGGCCCTTTCTCCTTGACAGAGTAAGAGCTTTGCTTGATACTCAGAAGGCATATGTGGAGCCAGAGACTGCAGAGAGAGCTAAATATTTAGCTTCCTCTTTCTCTGAAGGTCTGTAATGCCATGTCTGGGCATGACCAAAGTGAGTTTCAGGCGATGGGCTAGCGTTTGCTAAAAGGAACTTACCGGGGCGTGGGTGTGCATTTCTCCTTCTGCCCAAGGTTAAGTAATAGTAACATCCTGTGTAAGAGAACGTGAATGTGGTTTTCTACTAAACTCCAATATTTTAGGGCTATTTATTAGATATTTTTAATCATGGGCCAATTTAACCAGTAGCAGACTAATAAATTTGGGCTTGCTGCCAGGACAAATGTTGACTTACCCTTATAATGTTGACTGAAACGAATAACTTTGAAAGTAATTGAGGAGTGAAACCTTAGCCAAAAATACAGTGTCTGAAACAGTGGTTCTGTTTTATTTTACTGGCACTGCTAAGAGATTTTGTTCATAACCTAGGCCGCTGCCCACCTCGGCTCTCGGAGAGTCCCATATTTTACTGAATTATTTTCCAATGTTTTGTTTTGTTTTTTGTTTTTCGGCCCATAAACCACCATTCAGCAAAAATGAATATCCCCATGGCAGAGAAGAACAGGCTACTTTTCCAGTGTGGGAGCAAACAGTCAATGATAATGAGAGGAATAAAGATAATAACTTGCTTGAGGTGCTCCCTCAGAAACAAAATGGTATGTCAGTAACGTTTGCCCTCTCAGAGTTTGTAGTAAAATTAATCGCTCCTCCAAGGTATACTGGATGAAATCCATCTGACTCGCCCCACACTCACCTTTCCTTCATTTTGCCATTCAGTTTATACAAATATTAGAGAGCGATAGTAGTTTGCCAGCATGTGCTTTGAACTTGAAGGAAGCAGGGGAGGCCTGGAGGAAATGAAGCCAGGATGACCACATGAATTGTCATAAAGTGTGATTTCTTTCTCTTCTCATTTTTTTGCTTGCATTTGATGGGAGCTGTGTTCGGGGCTGGAACTGAGCATCCTTTCAGAGGCTTATGCCAGCAGTGTCTGAGCTTAGTCCAGCATCCCCCTCTGATGCTCCTGCCCTAAGCAAGACCCCCCTAAAAGCAACCACCTCACAGGCTGACCTTGGCCAGAGGCCGTAGGTGCTGACTGGCTCAAGCCAAAACAGACTTGATATACATGGAATAAAGATCATCTCCCCAACCTTAATGTGTTCAGTTTTACGGCCCCAAGCGTCGATGGTTTAATCTGTGGATCTCTCCAAACCATTTTGTGTGTGGTGTCTCCATCAATGCTTTTTAGCATTGCCATGAGGGAAGGCTGGAGAAATCGTCAGCTCCTCAACACAACAATCCAACACCCTGTCTGCAGCTTGGCCATGAGACTGAACTAACTCAGAGGGTCCTGTGGATTTTATTTATCCAGGCTCTCCTTAGTTCCCAGTAGCAAAAATACAAACAAAACAAAACAAAGCCCCCAAAAAGCACTTTTTTCTTTTAAAGAAGGAAATTAGGATGTTTTCCGTATAGCATCTGATGCAGAGAGAGTTGGGCCATTTCATCAAAAAGGAAATCTAATCTCCCTTGGATACACAGTGCAAGGCAACCAAACCTGCAGCTGGAGAAAATAAACACAAGGGTGTGGCCTCCACATTTGAGATTAGCCAGGAGGGAAGGTATCAGGGATTCTTCCCAGAGCTGTTCCTGGTGGTTTGGCAGAGTCCACAAAGCCTGTGGGACCTTTGTTGAAATCACCTATAATCACCTGGCATTTTTAGGGGGAAATTATGGTTCTACTTTTGAAGACCTTTTGCTCACCTTGTGGGTTAGAAACCAATAATTCTGAAATGCGTTTGGCCTAATCAATGAAGCCAGGTTTCCGTTGGAATTTGGGCCTCATTATTTGCCTTTTAACTTCTAGTAACAGATGACACCAGGTCAGTTAGCTCCGTGCCAGGGGAAAGAAAACAAACAAAAAAAATTTTAATGGAAATTTTGGAGTTAGGAACCATTATTTCATTATTGTTTTTTTCTATTTCCAAAAAAATAAGATGAAGAGTCACTTGTAGGCTCCACAGAAGCTCCCCTTCTTTGCTCCCCTCTTGCTCAGACAGCTCTGCGAAGGACTCCTCGTTGCTGCCTCTGTGTCCTCCATGCCCCTGTGTTCCACTGTGCTCTACCTGCTGAACACCTCACTTGCCCCACTCCAGCCAAGCCTTACTCTCTTGGGTGCTCTGCCTGGATCAACCTATGGTTCTCTCTGTGCATCCAGGAGACATTCCCCCAAGGGTGACACGTGTACCCTTCAATGAAGCCCACTTTGCAGATGCTGGGTAAGCACTTGCAGAGCTGAATTCCAGAGGATGCGCGTAGTCACAAAGAATCTCTTCCATTTATGTGTATTAATTACAAAGGGAGTAGTAGTAACTTTACAATGGAGAAATCCAGCAGATAACCTCCTGTAGGGCTGTTGTAACAAAGTACCACAAGAGGCGAGGCTTAGAACAACGGAAATTTATTTCTTACTCTTCTGCAAACTAGAAGTCGAAAATCAAGGCGTCAGTAGGGCCCTGCTCCCTCTGAAACCTGCAGGAGAATTCTCCCTTGCCTCTTCCTAGCTTCTGGTGTTTGCCGTCCGTCTTTGGTGTTCCCTGGCTTGTAGATGCATCACTCTAATCACTGCCCCCATCATCATATGCTGTCTCCCTGTATGTCTCTGTCTAAACTTCCCTTCTTATAAGGACACCAACGATGGCATTTAGGGCCCGCTGCAATCTAATATGACCTCATCCTAACCTGATTACATCTGCCAAAATCCTATCTCCAAATAAGGTCACTGTCACAGGTTTGGGGGTAGAACTTCAACATATCTTTTTGTGGGGGACACAATTCAACCCATTGTACCACCTTGACCAACTGGTCCAGGTCGATGTCACCAGTTATAAGATATAGTGACATCATGTCCCCCAGATATGATGCACCAAGAAGGGCACATCACTTCTGTTGTATTCTTGCCAAAAATGCATAATCTGAATCCAATCATGAGAAAACATCAGACATGTCTAAATTGAGAGATATACTACAAAATAACTGACCAGCACTCTTGAAAAGTATCATTGTCACAGAAGACTGAGGAACTGTCACCGATTGGAGGAAACTATAGTGATATGACAACAAAATACAATGAAAGGGTGGGAAGGCCTTGGCGTTAGGAGGTGTCAAAGGAAGTGAGAACATGAGAATATTTGTGGTGACCTAGAAGTTGTTTTTTTTTTTTTAAACATCTTTATTAGAGTATAATTGCTTTACAATGGTGTATCAGTTTCTGCTTTATAACAAAGTGAATCAGCTATACATATACATATATCCCCATATCCCCTCCCTCTTGCGTCTCCCTTCCACCCTCCCTATCCCACCCCTCTAGGTGGTCACAAAGCACCAGCTGATCTCCCTGTGCTATGCGGCTGCTTCCCACTAGCTATCTATTTTACGTTTGGTAGTGTATATATGTCCATACCACTCTCTCACTTTGTCCCAGCTTACCCTTCCCCCTCCCCGTATCCTCAAGTCCATTCTATAGTAGGTCTGCGTCTTTATTCCTGTCTCGCCCCTAAGTTCTTCTGACCATTTTCTTTTCTTTTAGATTCCATATATATGTGTTAGCATACGATATTTGTTTTTCTCTTACTTCACTCTGTATGACAGTCTCTAGGTCCATCCACCTCACTACAAATAACCCAGTTTTGTTCCTTTTTATAGCTGAGTAATACTCCATTGTATATATGTGCCACATCTTCTTTATCCATTCATCTGGTGATGGACACTTAGGTTGCTTCCATGTCCTGGCTATTGTAAATAGAGCTGCAGTGAACATTTTGGTACATGACTCTTTGAATTATGGTTTTCTCAGGGTATATGCCCAGTAGTGGGATTGCTGGGTCTTTAAGTTTAAATGTTTCAAGGTAGCCCTCTCAGCTCTCAGTTTCCCAGCCACGTGGACCTTTCCCTATTCTGGCCTATATCAGTTGAGAATTATTGAAATTCAGTAGTGGGATTTTTGTTTTCATTTTACCAGGTTTCTTCTAATTACTGTTGATTCTAGATGATGTCTGCCTCTTCAGTATCCTTTCTCAGTAGGTCCTCACTAACAACTGAAGTAAAAATCTCAGATGGCACCTGTCAGCTGCAGTTCAGCATTCAATAGTACATTTGCAAAACTGTTTTCTGTCCATTGAAATAAATCTTTGTATTATGGAGCATTTTGACCACATACCATCTTAAAATCAGATTTCTACCCCTTATTTTTGACTCAGTAGTACTTGGAAGTGGAACTCAGGATCTAAACATTTTGAATGTTGCCTAGTATAGTAAAGGTGCTGTCAGAAAGCAGTATTTTGGAAATTAATTTTCTAGAATCTTCTACAGTGTCCTCTTCTCTACTGAGCAAAATACTTAATTGAAAATTGGGGAATCTCCCACAAAACTCATGTTCCTTTTTCTAATGAGCAGGGGGAAAAAAAGGCCTCAAGCCCTCAAGAATGGTTTCTGTATTTGTTAATGGTTGAAAAAAAGCAAAAGAAGAATAATATTTTGTGACATGTGAAAATTATATGAAATTCGAATTTTACTGTCTATAGATGAAGATTTAATGGAACATAGTCACATTCACTTATTTACATACTGTTTGTGGCTGATGGTAGAGATGAGTAGTTGTGACAAAGGCTGGACAGCCCTCAAAGCCTAAAATATTTAACCATCTGGCCCCTTACAAAAAAGTTAGCCAAGCCCTGGAGTAGGGCATGGGCTCTGGATCCAGCCTCCCTAGCCTAGGTTTAAATCCTGGCCACCTTTTTTAGCTTTCCCTATCTTTAAGATGAAGATCACAATAGTGGCTACCTTGCAGGGCTGTTAGGAGAATAAATTAGTAAATATCTGTAAAGCATAGGGAAGAGTCCCTGCAATGAATATGAGCTCATTATTATAATGTAATAATTCTAGAGCTTCTCCATCACTCTGAGATCATAACTTTCTGTTTA